CATGGTGGTATTTGGCACTGTTACTGTACAATTCCAAGAGGTAAATATACACATTATAGATTTAAAAAATCTAAGATGTACTAGGCAAACAGTTTATTGATTGAAGGAATAAAAAAATGAATTTGTCAACCTCATTCTTTCTGGGACACAATGCAGTTAATTAACATATTCTAGGGCTTGTTTCTGGATTTGGTAAGCAGTGGCCCCTTTCAGAGAGGAAAACATTTAAATCTTAAAAAGTAGTCTTCTTTGGTCCAAATAGTATTTAGCAATTCAGTTTAATTTCTGATTCTTCTTTTTTTTCAGTCCAAGATATGTTTCATTTCTTGCAAGGTTCTCTTCCATTTCAAAAACTGATTTTCCTCTTTTCCATGTCCAGAATCTTTTCACTTGGATAACCTTATTGTATCCTATAAACAGACACTTAAATATGTCACTTTAATCACACTTTAATTATAACAGAAATGCAAATCTTCAGTGTCAGTAAAAAAATGGGAACATGGACCTTACACTCCTGCCCTTACATTATATTGATGATACTCTGAAAAGTCTAAAGTGTAACACCTTTAAGTATTATTGCATCATGGAAAAAAATAGCCCAGCTCTGAAATGTTACTGAGGTTTGTGTAACGCCTAGAGGATCTAAAGGCATCTTTTAGATATTATTTTTCTGTTGGTAATTACACGGTGTTTTACCCGAAAATGTAAATATAACCAATGCATATCAATTTTATAGCAAAAGGAGTGGCTCTGAAGCCAAACACAGGATTAACCAAAGTAAACCCTTTAAAGTAAATATTAGGCCTTGATTCTTAAAAAGATTTTAAAATTTAAATTACATACAATTTAAATTTCAGAATTACCTAACTAAACTTTTTAACAATTAAGTGTATGTAACAATAATATTAATTATGATTGATTCTAAGTTAGAGTCTGTTTTGTAAGAAAATGACTTTTACATGGAGAGGTGGTTAACATTTGAGGGCTATTTAAATACAGACAATTCTAAATTACCCGGTAAATAAAAACTCTTCACCTATATTAATTTCAACTATTGAAAATCTTTAAAGCCAATTTATCTGAAAATTTCCTAATCATTACTTAGAAATTTTAGTTCAGGTGTACATACAAAATAAAGCCTTGCTTTACTCTGAAGAATAAAGCTCAGACAGCAATTAACTTTTAAACACCAATACTGTACATTAAATGAATATTTATTGTGGGCCTACTACGTGCAGGACACTTGCTAGGCGGTATGGTGAGTTTAAAAAAATCACCTAGTAAGATTAATATGCTTCGTTAAATGTAATTTTCCAAAAGCCATTAACGGAATATCAACTGAAAATATAATTGAAATGAATACCTTTTAATGAAATTTCTGATAGTGCTCCATGATATAGGTGCCATGCGTGGGTTTGTACCTATAAAGACACAATACTCACTTATTTTGAGATAAATAACAAAACTAGTATCACAAATACCTCAAAATTTTAATCATACTAGTATAAATATATGGCTCATAAACTTTTCATGTAAAAGGTAAGAAACCTTGGATACCAAATGAGCAAAACAAAATTTTATTCAGAGATTCCTTTAAAAGAGGGCATATCTTAAAGTTTGTGCAGATCATAAGGAATTGCCTTATTGCTTTTTGCAACTAATTTATTTAGAAAGAAAATTATAGTTTCTGATGAGGTTTAGTAGATGAATGAATTCTGATAATTGCTTTTTGTTTAAAAACCTAGGTATCAGAGCCAATGCAGAATTTTAAACACTTTATGGAAGTTAAGAATCTGAGTTAAGGAAAGTGCATCTAGTCTTAACATTATAGAAATATACCTCAATTTCTATACCTCATTAAAGAAATATACTTCAACAATGGGTATAATAGACTAAACATAACAGGCAAATAGCAGAAGGCAAATAAAACTTCAATTTAAAAAGGAGATAAATATAAGCAATACTAACCTAGGAACCAAGTTCGGTTTTAAATATTTCGTTCATAAGTATCTACTAATGTAAATGATTATGGAAAAGCAAATCCAAAAATTTGGTGCCCAGGATGAGGAATAAAGAAAATTATAAGAAGATATATTACCCATACAGGAAGAAAATATAGTTTCCCATTATAGTAGGGTTAGAGGTTACATCATAAGATACTTTACTTGAGTTTTTTGTGGTTTGCCTCAGATGATTAGTTCAGAGAAACAGATGAGCCAGTACTGAGTTAGCTGCTGTTGTTATGTGAAGAAGTATACTGGGACCACAGGCTTTTGTTTTATTCTACAGGTACTAGGTGTACTTTTTCAAAGAATATTTTGAGAATGTGGAATCAGATTTAACGGATAACATTATTTTAAGATTTAAATTGTACTTTTCTATGAAGTTATTCTATAATTCCCATGAACTTTTTTTTTTTTAACATTACCATGTGTTGTTAAAAACTTGCTCGAACTTTAACGATTCTGGCACTTTATAAGTTGTATCCATTCTGAGTTATGAGAATTAGCATAATCAGCCAATCATACACATACATATTGCACAAAGGACAAATATAACTTGCTCACTGCTATATTTCCTGTATCTAGTAAATGTTCCCTGGCTTACAGTAAATGTTCCATAAATATTTACTGAATGAATAATTAACTGTATCTCTGAACTATTTTGTAATGTCTGTTATTCTTATCACCTAATATTTTTTAGAAATATATTAAATATTATACTTCTGATATATAACATAAGAAAAAGTTCTATATCTGGTACATGAGTTAAAATTAGAATGACCTATTTAGCTCATTATGTTTTTTCTTACAGTTTTCATAACATTTAATATGTTAAATATCAGTTTTAAATAATTTGACTTATATTTTGTCAACATTTATATGTACATCTTTAATAAAATTTCTTCTTCAGATGCTATTATTTATATATAGGCCTGTTCTTAAGAAATAGTGTATTTTCTCTATTTTTTTAAATTTCAAAAATGTATTACAAATGATGAACTTTTTTGTTTTGTTTTGGGAACAGCAAGCATTTACCTACATTTCTTCTATTAAGTGTTACAGAATAGGGTAATGTACCCATCTTTCTTTACATATAAATTAATTCCATCACAAGAACTAAACTCCAATGCATTAAAAATAAAATGAATGTATTTTAAAATAATTTATTTCATTAAGGTTCGACCGCAGTGTTTAGCAAGGGAAATTTCACATTAATTTTAACTAAAAATTACTCCTCATTAAGAGTGTGAACCTGATCAGGATTTGGATGTTGAACTGGTATCCCTTGTAAAGGGGTAAAGATAAGATATACAGTAGAGATACACAAGACAATATAGATTTGTTTGAACACGGTTTTAGTTTTAAAAATATCAGTGATATTTTAAGAACATCATTATTATATGTTTGGAAATTTATTATTACCATGCCCTCCAAAAGAAGTTGCATTTTATAAGTATGTAATCTTGTAGTCACCTTTTTAAAAATGCACTAATATAACTAAAAATGAATTTTCATTTTTTGGTCTCTTTAGTGTACATTTTTCCCCTTACACTTCTAGATTTGCATTACTGTAGCCATCTCACTTCGCTTTTAGAATGTTTGAATATATTTGCTGATATATGCTTGCGTTGTAGTATATCTATTATAATTCTTAAATAGATTTCTAGCAATTAATTTGCAATAGAAAAAGCAGCCATGCCACCAATTTTTTTTTTTTTTCTTTATGAGAACACTTGGAATGCTTTTAGAACTTAAACCATTATCTTTTGGTGACTGACTAGGGGAACTTGGGTTCCTTCATCTTCTAGCATTTTATATAACTGCATTTCCCAGATCCCCACATTATATTGCTAATTCCTGATAAACAGTCATTTTGTACCTGTAAGGTATTTATCAAAGTCATGAATTCGCCTTGTAACTATGCTTGTCATTTAAACAATCTATATTCCTATTTCATGCTAAACTTTTTTGGCCTAAAATCAATATTGGACTAAAAAGGATACATAGTAGGTAGGGCAACAGTGGAAGATTTCACAGCTCAAAACTGCTCAATATCCAGCTAATTATTCAGATAGGCCTGATCCATTTTCTATTTGTATGTGAGTGAGCTCCTATCTTTCTGCCACTTAAGTGGCCTTAATAAAAAATTGACAAATTTTCAAGAGTAAATTTGGAGTACAGAGCCAGATCAGAGAAATCCTCAATTGAAAGGACTCCACTGTCACATGGTGTTAGAGATCATTTGGTGACTGACTAGAACTTGGGTTCCCTCAAACTGCGATTTCCTGATCCTCACATTATATTGCTAATTCCTGATTAACAACCATTTGTACTCCTACACAGCAAGTTGCGGGTAGCCTAGGTGTTCCCTCTTCGAATACAACCCAACCTAGGCTTTTGACCCTGTCTGTGATGCACTTTCACTTGTCACTGGGCCCAGTGTGGTGTGTAAACGGGCAGCCGACTTGGTGGCACTTTCACTGGGTGAACTTTGGGTAGAGTCCAGGATGTGAACTTAATGGGTGGAAAGGCTTCGGCACTACAGTGAAGTTCGCGCGGCCAACTGCAGGAAGCCATGCTTCATTGCACCCTTCATGGAAGTTGGCCGACTTGCCCAACCCTTGTTACCCACGGGCCAGTTCTTGAGGAAAAGGCCTGCAGGTAGGTTCTCAGATGCCCGCTGGGCGTCCCCTCCAGCTACTCAGACGAAACTCTTCCTCCCTGCTGATCCTCGGAATCCTCCCTTCCCACCCTCCCTCCCGCCGAGGCCTCTCCGCGACATGCACACGCAGCCCGCGCGGCCGGCGCTGCAGAAGACAGCCCCAACGGCCCGCCCCCGCGTGCGCGCCCCCGCGCCCTCCAGTTGGCTCGTTCCGGCCTCGGCGCGCCACGGGCTCCCCTCGCCCCCTCCCCCCCAGCACACCTCGGCGGCTGCGAGCGGCGCGGGGTAGGGGAAGGGGCCGGGAGGCAGGCCCGGGCTGCGGGCCGGACGCGGCGGCGCGCACGCAGGCCTCGCCTCTCCCGGGCCTTTTCCCTCACGCCGGTCGCCGGGCGGGCGCGCACGCCGAGTGACGCTCGGAGGAGGAAGCGCAACCCCTTTCCCCTCCCTCGCTGCCCCTGGCCCAGCGGGAGCCCCCCCAGTGCGCCTGTGCGGAGGCCTACTTGATTATGTGTGCCCTCTTCGGGCTCCAGCGTTAGCCGCCGGGTGGAGGTGGGGAGGGAAGAAGACGAGGAGGAGGAGGCGGAGGAGGCGGTGGAGGGGAGGTGGGGGGAGTCAGCAAGGACATGGCTCCTGACTCCTGTGCGGAACGTGAGTGACTGAGCGGCAAAGCCCGAGTGAGCGAGCGGCCGAGCGGCGGGCGGGGGCCGGGGCGCCGGGAAGGGAGCGGGGGCGCGGGGGACTGGGCGGGGGGGAGCACTCATTGGCTTGCATGTGTTTTTTAATGGTCCCCCCCAACTCCCTCTTAGATGGTCTCTAGCGACCGGCCCGTGTCACTGGAGGACGAGGTCTCCCATAGTATGAAGGAGATGATTGGAGGCTGTTGCGTTTGCTCAGACGAGAGAGGCTGGGCCGAGAACCCGCTGGTTTATTGCGACGGGCACGGCTGCAGCGTCGCGGTGCATCAAGGTAAACACCCAACCGCCCGCCGGGCCGAACCCGGCCTCTCCCAACCGTCACCGCTTCCCCCACCTTGGCAGCAACTGCCAGTTCCCCTCCCGCCCCTCCCCCCCCCCCCGCCCCCCCCCCCGCCCCCGCCCCGTTCTGGGGCCGGGGATTGACTCGGAGGGTCGGCGGCGGGGCGGAAGGGGTGTGGGCTGCGCATGTGGGAGAAAGTGTGTGTGGCCTGGACTGTCATGTGATGCTGCGTTCACTCTCTCAAGTGTCATTCGGCCGCCGCTTGCGCCCGGAGCCGCGGGTCTGCGGACTCTCGGAGGCGGGGGTCGGCGGCTAGGGGGTGTCGGGACCCTGGCGCGCGCCCCTCGGCCGTGGCCCCACGGCTGAGGGTTCGGGTTGGGGAGTGGGGAGCCCCCTCCCCCTCCCCCTCCCGCCGCGCCGTCTGCCGCAGTGTCTGGAGACTTCCTGTACCATGGAGTCGGGCTCGGGAGCGCGGCGCGCGGCGCCGGGGCGGATCGGGAGCTCGGGGGTCCGCCCTGCCGCTTTAGATTTGACGGGGGGAGGGCGCCGGCTGCCGCACCCCAAGCTTTCTGGCCGAGACCTTGCTGCTGCTCCTGCGGACTGGAGCTTCCCGCGAAGAGGCGGAAGGCCGTCGCCGCAGTCGCGCCGCCGCGGGCGCGGCTGGGCTGAGCTGCTCGGGGTGGTGGATGAGGCTGTTGAGTGGCCTCATCGGGCCCCTTCCTCAGCTTCAGTGACTGGACAGAAGAGGAGGTGGTGGCGCCGCCAGTGACTCGGGGAGCATCTTAGTTTATGTCTGGGTGTTTCCATTAGGTGAGTTTTGGGGATATACAGAAAAGCCGAGGACACTAGTTAAGGTAGTTTTCTGGCCGTTTGAAGGTTCTGACTTTTTCCATTTCACGTGGTAAGGAATTGAGGCTGAAAATTTGGGGGCCGAAAAACAGGTCACTTTTTTTGGTGGCTCTTGTACTCCCCTTGTTGTGTACCAACCCGCCCCCCCTTCCCGTTTCTAAATCTGGCGTTGAGTGAGGCAGAGGTTCAGTAGTGTATCGGGCGCTACTAAACGGGAGAAAGCCTGAGTGTAAGGGACTAAACTGTATTCTTTATAGAACGGAATCTCAGAACTGGGAAGGGGGACGTAGGAGATAGTAACCGAACCTGAGCATGCATGTATCCCCAGCTCTTTTAAAGAAGGGCAAAGTTGCACACCTTACTCTTCTAAGGAGTGAAAACCATGTGTATTCAAACTAGGTACTGATTGTAAGGTCTCAGAACTGGTATAGTGTATTTCCGTTATAGTGTTCATTGGCACTTGTAGAGGTATTTCTTATGAATTGGATGTTAAATGATGCTAAGTAGTCTCATCTCTCAATTTAGAAAGTGTTCATTTAAGTGTTAAAATTTCTTTTCTAGAAGTATTTCTGAATTAAAATATAAGTTTTTGGGCCTGTGATGCTGTATTTCTTGGCTGATAGAATATTTTTACTCTGATACATTTTAAAAGGGATTAGAAGTTTAGCTTTTGGAGTTTTAAAAATTTGTGCTGATTTTATATTCTTTAAGTGCTTTCCAATATTTGATATATTTTCAAGTTACCTCTGAGCAAGCTCATTCAAGAGAATGTCAGTTGGATATTAGTGTTTTTAGGTTTTTGGAAAATGTTAAATTTTGAGTTAGGTAAATGTTAATATAAAAACAGTTTTGTACGCAACTAGACTGTGATTTGGATGTGTGATATACATATCACTTGTTGGAACATTAACATGTTAGAAATGTGTAGTTTACTTTTTTTTTCTGATGGGTTTATTGAGATGTTAACTCACATACCATACAATTAACCCACTTAAAGTGTACAATTCACTGGTTCTTAGTATATTCACAGTTTTGGATTTGTTACTACAGTCAATTTTAGAGCATTTTCATCACCCTAATAAGAAACCTTGGGCCTGTTAACAGTTATTCCCCATTTCTTCCTAACTCCCCCAGTCCTAGACAACCAGTAATGTACCTTCTGTCTCTATAGACAGATAAACAAATGTCTATTCTGGACATTTTATTTAAATAGAAGCATTTTACTTTTAACGTTACATTTCATTTTCTTTCCTGCAATGTCTTGTTTGTTTTGAAAGGTGATTTGGAAATAATTTTCACTTTCATGTATCTAAAATGCTTGCTATTTAAACTTCAGGATATAGGAATGAGTTAATTAATTTGAGTTATTCTATGTAAAGAAAAGTTAAATTTTATCTAACATTTTTTCTGTTACAAGAATAAAATTTGTGATGTTTATACTTTTTAATTGAAATAGAAAAAGATTATTTTTCTAGTATTTAAAATGTCATAATTTTAACTAGGTGATAAATTATAAATGTAAATATATCATGTTTAAGTTCTTTACAAAGCAGGTGGTTTATGTCAGTAGTTTCAGAGGTAATTACTTTAATAGGGCTTTGAAAGGGTATTTGATTTTACATAATTATTCAAATCTTAACTTATTTTAAAACATTTATTTCCCAACAGCTTGCTATGGCATTGTTCAAGTACCCACTGGACCATGGTTTTGCAGGAAATGTGAATCTCAGGAGAGAGCAGCCAGAGTGGTAAGGACTGTTTATCAAAAACATTAAAATACTTCAGTGAGTAGCTTAGGATGCTACACACTCATGTTTCAGTTTGAAGGGTTTTCAGTCTTTTGTTCAAATACTGAATTTGGGCCAAGTATTGACTTACAGTTTTAAACTGGTTTTATAAGGTCTGAAAAACAAATTGAATTACATAAGTATATACTGATGGATACCTAGAACAGGTAAAATATAAAGTTGTATTTCGGCTTTCTTAGCCGTGCCTGCTGGTTTGAGGGTTCAATTGGCTAATCATAGCTGGAATATAATGGCAGTAGGACATAAGTTATATTGAGATAATTTTGCTAGGTTCTGTTTATTGAGTTAAAAAAAAGTTTAATGATTCATATTTCTTTTTACTATATCTATACATGTACAGTTTAACTTTGCTCAGTATTTTCAGACATTCAGTCCCTTTGGCAAAGCAACATAAAAATCTTCCTTTTTTTGACTTGGCTGGCTAACCTTCTTTCTGAACACTTCTGTAAACCTTCTGTAAGAATGAGGGAGGAATGTTTATTCTTTGTGGCCAAAATCATTTTTCCACTTGAACTTCTGGAAATATGAGGGAGAAAAAGATTTAATCTTCATTAATCACATGAAAGTATTACCATTTGCAGTGTGATAGTTTCTTCCTTTTGTTGTTGACTAGAGTATGTGACAGAAGGTAGAAAACAAATATTTCAACTTCTTTATCTACATGGATAGTATTAACAGAAGTTTTTATTTTTGTCTGGGCAATTTTTGATCAGAAATAATGGCTGAGTAGCTTATATAGGATTGTGAAACTCAGAGCAATATTCCGTTGATGTGTTTTCTTTGTGTGTGGGAATGCACTGTACCAGAGTTTCAGCTATTCTAGCATTACAGAAATAGGAACTGGCAAGTGGAGGATGAAATTAATAATGAAAATTTTAGGACTTAAAGTATGTATAGGTTTACTCTGTCTTCTTTCCTCTTTGTAGCATGTTATGGTTTGGGGTTGATGGGTCACCAAGCAAAGGAAGTTATGCTTTAATTTGTTAGTAAACACTGACAGTAAGGTGAGGCTCTTCCAGGAGATGTCACAGTAGATACATGGCCAGAGAAAGATTAGAAAGTAGCAAAGTGGGTATCAAGAAAGGGAGGATAAAGAGGTGAATGGGGAGTGGTAAAATGGCAGCATTATTTGCTTCAAATACCACTTGTTGCCTGTTTCTATTTCTTTTTCCTCTCTGAGGTCATGGTCAGGATATTCAGGTGAATAAAATATTTATCTTAAAAGGTATATAAAGGTATATTGGAGGACCCATTTTATTTTAGCTTTATTTGGTCGGATGGTGGGGGTCGTTAATGAAAGAAGAGGCACAGAGTCTTCTAAATTCCTGTAGTGTACAATTATACAAGGTAGGATTGTTTGTAAAAAACAAAAGCTCATTCCAAGCTTAAATAAGCAAAGAAAGGGCATTTTCTTATAAGGATATAGTAGCCAAGAAACCTAACCTGAAAATGTACCAATGAATTAGAACGGGAATGGAATTAGTTTTAATATTATTTCTGCTTTTCTCTGTGTGTCTTCTTCATTCTTTTCCTTTCTGCAGATTTTCTCTGCTACTTACTCCAAAAATCAATAGTTAACTTTTTTGATTGTTTACCATTTGTCAGATACTGTGCTGAATGTTCTATACCAATTATTTTCTTTACCTATCAAATATGTGAGGTAGATATTCTGTTACTTTCATTTCATAGATAAAGATATCATAGTTTTAAGAGAAATACATACCTAGTTGGAGTCTGGGCTATGATGAAGCTCTCAACCAAGGTGTTGTATATTGCCTCCTGTGGTGAAAGATGGTCATACTTCAGCTCTTAATATTTTCTTTCTCCTGTTTCAAGAGACTAAATTGCAGTGTGAATCTCATGTTCCTTTTGGGGGAAAAAAAACTGTCTTGGCTTGTCTAGTTCTGGACCAGTTAGCTAGCCATGGCTAGACAATAGGGTTGAGTTGCTCAGACACAGGGAGATCTCTGTGGGTTTGGGATAGCTCACTTTTCAGAAGAGGGGGAATTATGAACTGGTGGTACCTTGACAGATACTGAGTAAAAATCCAGAACAAATAAAGTATTTTTAGACAAGAAGTTTGGTTGTATATAGAATGGCTTTGAAAGGGGAGGTTAGAAACTGAAAGTCTTAGGATGCTGTTACTATAAAAATGTGAGAGTAGAAAGGGAGGGAGTAGAAAGAAAGAGGGAGCATTTTGAAGGAGGAAATGACAGAAATGGATGTGGGGTGAAGGAAAGGGAATAATCAGAGATGATTCTGAGATGTCAAGGTTGAGCACTCTGGAATGGTGATACCATTAACAGTAACAAAGGAAGGAGAGCAAATTTGAAGAGTAAGGAAAGTTGTTTTGGGCATGTTGGTTTTGATGCCGCTAGGATTTTTCATTGGAAATTTAGGGTTAAAGTAATGAAGACAAGTTAGAGTTGGAGCTGCATAGAAGGAAGATTGGGAAACAAGTGACATTTTTTGTTAGAGAAAAGAAGAGTGAAGACAGAACTATGGTCAATGTTCACATTTGGGAGAGTAAGAACGAGTTTCCAAGGATGGATAATGAACTGTCGGGAAAGGAGAACCTGCAGGGTCCAGTAGCAACAAAGACAGTTGTTTTTTTAAAAATATTAACATTCTATACCCATTTTATTTTTTATTTTTATTTTTATTTTATTTTTATTTTTATTTTATTTGTGGTACGCGGGCCTTTCACTGTTGTGGCCTCTCCCATTGCGGAGCACAGGCTCCGGACGTGCAGGCTCAGGGGCCATGGCTCACGGGCCCAGCCGCTCCGCGGCATGTAGGATCTTCCCGGACCGGGGCACGGACCCGTGTCCCCTGCTTCGGCAGGCGGCCTCTCAACCACTGTGACACCAGGGAAGACCCCCATTTTGTTTTTAATTTGTTTTTTAAATTAATTTATTTTTGACTGTGTTGGGTCTTCGTTGCTGCGCGCGGGCTTTCTCTAGTTGTGGAGAGCAGGGGCTACTCTTTGTTGTGGTGCGCGGGCTTCTCATTCCGGTGGCTTTTCTTGTTGCGGAGCACGGGCTCCAGGTACGCGGGCTTCAGTAGTCATGGCGCGCAGGCTGTAGAGTGCAGGCTCAGTAGTTGTGGTACACGGGCTTAGTTGCTCCGCGGCACGTGGGATCTTCCTGGACCAGGGCTTGAACCTGTGTTGCCTGCATTGACAGGTGGATTCTTAGCTGCTGCGCCACCAGGGAAGTCCACAATTATTTTTTTTAAGAAAGAGTTTTTGATAGTGACATTGCTGCCAAGGATGCTGAAGGACTAAGATAAGTACTTGAGACAGCAATTGTAGTTCTCTGGTTTGGGCAGAACCCTCATGATAGGGCATCGAAAAGAGTAAGGATTGCAGGGTTAGATTGAATGTTGAAAATAAGGGAAGAGGAAAATAAAAATAGACGGGGAATTGAGGGAAAGTTTGGTTGGTTTTTAAGGGAAGCTCTTTGTTAGGCATTCATTGTTCAGAAAAAACACTCGAATTGCTTTATTCACCTCAAGTGAATAAGACTTTTTTTAAAATTAATTTATTTTTGGCTGCGTTGGGTCTTGGTTGCTGTGTGCAGGCTTTCTCTAGTTGCAGCAAGTGGGGGCTACTGTTCGTTGTGGTGCAAAGGCTTCTCATTGGGTGGCTTTTCCCAGGTGCCACCAGGGAAGCCCAAGAATTTTTATTGAAATATTTTCATTAGACTTCATTGTTTACTAACTGCTGTCACAGTGTTTTTTTTTTAAAATAAATTTATTTATTTTATTTATTTATTTATTTTATTTTTGTCTGCATTGGGTCTTCGTTGCTGTGCGTGGGCTTTCCCCTAGTTGCGGTGAGCAGGGGCTACTCTTCCTTGCGGTCCGCAGGCTTCTCATTGCGGTGGCTTCTCTTGTTGCAGAGCATGGGCTCTAGGCATGCGGGCTGCAGTAGTTGTGACTCGCAGGCTCTGGAGCACAGGCTCAGTAGTTGTGGCACACGGGCTTAGTTGCTCTGTGGCATGTGGGATCTTCCTGAACCAGGGCTCGAACCCGTGTCCTCTGCACCACCAGGTCAGTCCCGAGGTTAGAGGTTAAAACACTCATTGATGACTGCACCACCAGGTCAGTCCTGAGGTTAGAGGTTAAAACACTCATTGCACCACCAGGTCTTAACCACTGCACCACCAGGTCAGTCCCGAGGTTAGAGGTTAAAACACTCATTGATGACTGTTTTTTTTTCCTTTAATAAATTTATTTATTTATTTTTGGCTGCATTGGGTCTTTGTTGCTGTGTGTGGGTTTTCTTTAGTTGCGGCAAGAGGGGCTACTCTTTGTTGTGATGTGCAGGCTTCTTATTGTGGTGGCTTCTCTTGTTGCGGAGCGTGGATTCTAGGCGTGCAGGCTTCAGTAGTTGTGGTGCGCGGGCTCCGTAGTTGTGGCTCGCTGGCTCTAGAGCGCCGACTCAGTAGTTGTGGTGCATGGGCTTAGTTGTTCCGTGGCATGTGGGATCTTCCTGGGTCAGGGATCAAACCCACGTCCCCTGCATTGGCAGGTGGATTCTTAACCGCTGTGCCACCAGGGAAGTTCTGATGACTGTTTTTGTATTTAATGTGTATGTGTTCTTTTTTTTTAATTAACATTTTTAAAAAGTAAATTTGTTTATTTTATTTATTTTTGGCTGTGATGGGTCTTCATTGCTGCGCACGGGCTTTCTCTAGTTGCGGAGGGGGGGGCTACTCTTCATTGTGTCACGTGGGCGTCTCATTGCAGTGGATTCTCTTGTTACAGAGCATGGGCTCTAGGCACGCAGGCTTCAGTGGTTGTGGCACATGGGCGTAGTTGTTCCGTGGCATGTGGGATCTTCCTGGATTAGGGATCAAACCCATGTCCCCTGCATTGGCAGGTGGATTCTTAACCACTGTGATACCAGGGAAATTCTGATGGCTGTTTTTGTGTTT